GAGCATGTCTTTGGACTGTGGGAGGAAGCCGGAGAACCTGGAGAGAACCCACGCAGACACGGGGAGAACATGCAGACTCCACACAGAAAGGCCACTGGGCGGAATCGAACCCAGGACCTTCTTGCTGCAAGGCGACAGTGCTAACCACCACGTCACCGTGCCCCCCCCCCCCCTTGGAAACATAAGAAAACACAATTTCTGTTGCTGAAAATGATCTTGAATGCCAACTTGTGAATGCTTCACATTCATCCTCGGCCTTTAGCGGTGCATTGTTCTCAGTTATTGCACCCTTTGCCCTTTTTATGAGACTTTAAATAGCTTAACGGGGCATTCAATTAAGCTCTTAAACAGCCGATTGAGAGAAGCTTGATTGAATAATTCTTGTAGCGCTTGCAGCGCCTTATAAAAAACTCACTGAAACGGCGGGATACAATGATGCCGGCATGGAGAAGGAAGAAGAATTAACGCCGTCAAGTGGAGTTTTCACCAACTGCTGCGCAAAGGGTTCACGGCCTCTCCCTCCGCCAACTGGCGCCCGCATCGCTCAACCCCTGCGGTTGCCGGGAGCGACACGCATCAAAACGACAGCTACGTGACGGTTCGGTCCTCCCCGTGCAGCTGTGTGATGTTCAAAGATGGAATCCTCGGCAAAGTGGATGAAAACAGATTCCAGCTCCCTGTCGCTCCAAAAAAACAACTTTCGTCCTCCTGGAACGGATGAGATTACCAACTCGCCACACGTCTGACATTGTTTTCCCTGCGTTCTCGCTCAGTTAACACAATAACGTGAATAACGTCGTGTGTGATTGAGTGTTTTGCGGGTTGGGTCGAGACGAGCCTTGTGCAGCGCAGCCATGCCGTTGCTTGCGTGCAAGGTCCTGCAAGCCAACCGCCCACCTCCCCGGCCTGCCTTAGCCCCCACGGAAGTATGTACATACTGTACTTCCCATGCTCAGCATTGGAACTAAACCCTCCCACGCTACCTTATTTCTGTGCAGGACATGCACACGTGTTGCACAACCAAGTGCAGACACACACACACACACACACACAGCCCACAGAGGAATGACAGGAAAAAGACTTGCAGCGCTGACCCGAGGATGCCGTGGGAGTGTAAAATATGCATGGCAACGCTGGCTGGAGTCACCCGTGTACTGGTGGTGACCAGCTGCTGCAAAGCCCTCTTGCACGGACCTGTCTCGCTCGCTGTCTGTCTGTCTGTCTCTCAGCCTGATGTCTCTAACAGTTGGCTACCAAGTTTAGCCTGCCGACCCAGTCAAATACACCCATCCTACTCCTCCCTCTTCTTTTAATCTGTTTAATCTTTTTTTGGTCCGTCACCCTGATTGGATGACAACCAGCTTCTCCACCAGTGACTTTTGATGTCTGCGGCGGCGGAGGAGGAGGCGGAGAAGGCGGAGCGCCGTTGTCTGAGATGTAATTGCCGGGGCTCTCAGGTAACCGAGCACTCGATGTGAGAATTGACTACCTAGAGACGGGTTTCTTTGAGGTTAAAGTCTGAAGACAGAGCAGAGCGCCATCACACACAGAACGAAGGCACGAATCCCACTTGTTTCTTGAATAAACAGCAATGTTTCTGCCGATAGAACACGCTGCTCGTTTACTTTTTTAAATGAAATGTCTAGTCATGGTGGTGGAGCGGTGGCAGAATATCTCTCAGACAGACAATCAAATCAAAGTGGGTAAAAAAAGAAAAAAGGGCAGAGCAATTTTGATCAATCATCCAAATAGCAGGAGTGCGTTTGTTGCCGACTGGTTTCTACAGCGGATGAGCACACATTAAGTGCTTCAGTGATTATTTTGCTGCGGTTCTCCCGGTGCAGGAGACACAGGTGCTTTTTTGAGGCAGTTTGAGAACAGAAAAGAAAAATATTGAGTTCATTCAAACTCCAAGAAAAAAATACTTGAGCTGTGTGAACAACGCACAAAGTTTGGCTTGCACGCATAATGGTTGGTGAGATTTCTACCGCAGTGCTTATACAACTTCACTTGTGGTCCTCGAAACAATGAGAATTTAACTGGAATGTCCCAGCTTAACAAGAAATACCGGAGTCTGCTGCATTTTTTAAATGCACTTCTCAGGAAGGAAGATTTCATCGCCACGGGAGCGCTGCCACAACTCATATGTTATTAGAACCTCAGCCAATAAAACCCAAATTCTCCAGAGCGCTGGATAGACTGAAAGGCACCTGCTCTCAAGCTCACGCGTCAAACAACACGTACAACGCAAGGAGACACTGGTGCGATGAATTGTATCTATGACAGAGTCTGAACGAGGCCCCTTGTGATGTTTTGAGTGCTACAGTAGCCTATTGTTCAGCGTGCATGCTCAGGCCTACAGCTGGGTCTGTCCTATACATGCAGTGCTAATGGACACTTTGTTCCTTCATGTATCCTGCCACTGTCTAAATAACAGGCTGAGCTAGAGGGGGCATATATAGCATACCACTCAGTGAAAGCAAGACAACTCCCTCTGTCCAAATGCACAAGTCCACAGCACCTCAAACAATTAACCCATAATAAACATGGATGCTAAATATGCAAATATATACAGCTGGCTACTTCAGGTACCAACTAAAAAAAGACAATGCACACAGCCTGTATTTAGCTCACATCAATTTAAATGTATGTATTTTGCTTTCCTAAAAGGTTCAGCCAAGTTAACTGGCCTTTAAATCCACTGGGTGGAGGCTCGCTGCTGTGTGTGATGCGGCAAAACAAGTGCTGTGTATAAATCGCCTGCAGCGGGCGCTTCGGGGTCCATACGAGCTTAATCTCTACGGTTATGTTTATCAGAGCGGAAAACAATGAACCCTCTACACCGGAGCGCTCTGTATGTTCCTAGCCTGTCCTCTGCATTGAGGCCTTTCTTGATGTTGAACGCGAATCCTTGAACGAAACACAACATCCTGGGACCGGTGACTTGAGATCAAATGTGAGACCGTACGAATCGTCTCCCCGTAACCGATAGCCCTTCTTGCCGCCTCTCCCAAACAGGCTGATTTCAGCTGTTCTTTCCATTTCAAAACCTTCGAAACCAACAATTTTCTAAGAATGGGGTGACAAGAGTGAGGTCCGCTGCGGCAGAACTTCCCCCACAACGAACCACGGTAACCGCTATCTGAGGCAGCGGAGGAGAATGTAGCAGGGACATTTCCTTTCCCCAAAAACATCACACGTTGAAATATTTACACATTTTGCTGACCGCTAGCTAAGTCACGGGAGAAGAATGTCCTATGTCTTCTCTCTCTATTGATGTGGCTTCATATTTGGTAGATTGATCTTCCCCCTCGTGAAGCACGGGCAGGTTGCAGTCCGCTCCACCACCAAATACCGCACATTGCTCAATAAAAAAGTTACTATTTCCAGCCGAGAGAAACGGGTCTGCAACAATTTTTAAAGTAAAGAAACCATTAGAACCACGAGCAGAGATGCGTTTGACTGGAGGCTGAAGAACACCACTAAACAAAGCTTCCTGGATACAGCAAAGCACACACACGCACACGTGCACACACACACACACACACACACACACACACACATCACTATGGCGCCGGCCGGTACAGTAACCTGAGTGCCACTTCAAAGAGCTCCACCCCCTCTTGAGCTCTTTGTGCTTCCACCACAAGGTGCACACAGCTCGCCCCGCTACATACATTTTAGATATTTAAAAAAGAGAGAAGAAAGAGAGGAAAAGTTAAGGCCGACGCACAGGCTTCCTGCCCAAATGCCCCCCAACTCCCCCAGCGGCAGAGCTGCTAATCCCCTGACAGGTGTTCATGTTAGCGGAGGAATCCACGGCGGATTGACTCTCTTCACACGAGCCTGTCACACAGGCACACAGAACAATTTGGACCTTATTGTTCCCACAGATCTTTAAGTTGAGCTGCAGAGGCCGAGAAGGAATCGGGCCCGTGTTTAGATGTCTGATCCGCCGAGTTCTCAGTCTGAAAGTAGGAAACGCTTCATGTGGTAAACAGAAGCGCTCTGGGCTTGACTACATAAACAAGACAATACGCCTCCTACATGGTTCATGTGTGGACAGGTCCATGCTGACCGGTCGCATTGCTTCAATGGAAAAATGGACATCTGACAAAATACCAACTTCAGTGTTTCCTTCCTCAACAACGAGATGAAACAGGGCGATTAAACGGAAGCTTCCGTCACATCCGACACACAAACGAAATCAAACCGTCCCCAAGTCGACATGAATCTGCGTCAGTGACAACATTTAAAATAACACCCTGCTACGCTTCCCGTTCTTCCCGCCCGACTGCTTTCAAAAGGCAGCCCTTCTCTCTCTCGTTGCTCCATCTCGATGCTCCAACTCTCACAGGCTTTTACAAATGAACTGATATTGACTGATAGCGCTCTGCTTTAGCTGGAGGCCCCCCCTTTTCCTCCCCACCGTACGAGAGAGCCTCCATTACACTAATGTTATGTTTTCATTCATGAGAAGGGGCTTAAAGAGCGCCGTGTTTGTTTCTGTTCGGCCCGGGGCGACTCGTTCTGCTCCTCAGGAGCCGCGGGGAGGAGCGTCGGGGTCAGAAGTAGCTTAAAGCCTCTCTGAAAAACCAGGGCGCCGCCGGCACTACTAAGAGGCTGCTTCGTTGGTTAATTCGTCTGGAAATGAAAACATGATCCAAAGACGTACAAACAGGGAGAACCATGAGAAGGACGAAGGGACGGACTGAGAGGCGCAGGTTCCCTTCTCGGATGACCTCAGAAGACCTCGTCCACACGTAACAACACTGCACGATAACAGAGCTGAGCCGGCCTCGTTTCAGGGAAATGTTTACACCAGGAAAGGAGAAGAGGAAACGCTGAGGGCTGTTGAGGCGTAGATTTGGCATATTTTGTATCACTTTTAACATACACGGATACATATACGAGATGAGAAGCAAAAATGAATGAAAAACCAAACGGTTGTGCTCTGGAAGCCTCTGTGTGCATAAGAGGAGAAGGAGCACCAAGCTCACCGTTTCTCTTCTCCCTCAGGTGGGCTAGAGTCCTGCTCCTTGGACACGAGTTCCATTCACCTTAATTCCATCCAGCAACCAATCAGGAGAGACTGAGGCAAGCCCCACCCTCGGATGCCTGCTTGTCATTCGCCGGTCAGGAGGGGTCCGTCAGTGAGACATGACAGGGTCCCGTCACTGGGCCTTTTCTGTCTTTCCTTCTTTTGAGTGGAGGGGGGGGGGGGGGGGAGGGGGGTTCGGGGGTCTCCAGACGGAGTGGGAGTGAGGTCGGCTCGGTGCGAAACTGAATTATGATATGCAAGACGTTGGAGGTGGCTCGGCGGGCTCGACGGCCGCGCCGTGGGTCGGTGTCTCAGGGATGCGGAGGGAGGAGACGGATGACCCCCTCTGGAAGAGAAGACACACACAGAAAACATCAGCTCACATCCACTGGTTTTGTTGGGCTTTGGACTGCTGGGCGGACAGGAAATTGAGAATTGCAATCAGGGTTTTTCACGATTAATTGTGTAATTGAGGTGACAATTAGCAGGTAGATCAGAGATTAAAAAAAAACAATCGTTGGTTGCAACCATTACTGTCTGTTACCCGCCGCATTCATCAAGGTCTCGTCAACAAAACAATCCAGGAATGTTCAGAATCCCCCACCCCAAAAACCCCCACATACACATGAAATACTTGATTTTAAAAGCTTGACTGAAGATCTTGCTTTTATTTTTTTGTGATGCAGACGAACAGATTGTAGCCGCGACCGGTACCGCAGAGACACAGACTAGATTTAGCCCTGTGCCCCCCCTCATGTTGTCAAAAGAAGGCTTCCCCCCCCCGGCAGAGCCTGTGCTAATCCCTGGTTCAATGCCTTTCTGAACCATGACAGTGGGATACGAAGCATTAGATGGTCCTGAGACACGAGTGTTGCTTTTACTTCTAAAAGAGCGATTACATACGTATGAATGTGTCTAATCTGAATGAAAGAATCTACGTATTTATGACTCATCAAGAGGTCCAAATGAGAAACCACGTGGCTGAATTGTTTGAATGAATACGCTGCTTTGGTCGTGAGACAAAGAGCTGCTTCACATTGAGGTAAAAAGCGCTGCACGTTGTGACATTAACAGCTAATTACATCAAACATCATGTAACAACCGTGTTGCCAGTAAAAAAACAAACCCTGCTGCTCAAGAACTCACTGAGCAAACAAGCCAGGGAGCCTCCACTTGTTAAGAAAAGAAAAATAGACGCCCCCCCTCCGACCGCAGCGGGGCCACCTGCGGTGTGATGGTAAATAGGGCCGTAATGGAGCGTTCTTTATCAACGTCCTTCTCTGTTTTACAGCGACTGTTACTACAAGTGACCCCCCCCCCCCCTCTACCCCCCCACAGCGCTGTTATTTGTGCAAGCAAACAGTTCATCACACTGGGACGGAGAGGATGGAGGAGAGCGGGATGGCATTGTTCCATCGGCAAATTAAAGCAAACAAATAAAAAAAGCACAAACACTTATTTAGTGTTAAACAGTTAAATAGAACTCCAAACAGATATCTGATTAATAAAGCAATAGCCGGGAGTCAGATTTTTCTTTTATTGTGCTGAATGTTGTTAAAGGTTTTTGATTGTCTTGTAATCATAAATGTTTTTTACCCTCATCCAGCCATTGTTTGAACTCAAAACCTGTTTAGAATAAACAAAGATCATCAAAAGATCACATGACAACTAACCAAACCTTGTTTAGTTATTCCCTGACGACATTTGTCTTTGTAAACTATTTTTTTCTGTCTTGCAATGATAAAAAAAAAAAGCAGATGCAAAAAAAAAACACTAGAAAAACAAACGGTACAGTAATACATCTCGGTGAGGACGCTCATGACATCGTATGCGCTCGTTCGCCTTGGCCCCCACCAAGGAAGTTATGGCTGTATTAATATCGCATATGTCCAAGGTCGGGGCATGAAAATACAATTTGTCTGGAGCGGAAAGGAGCACGTAGCACGATTAAGCCAGTGACAGTGAGACGGAGATAAAGGGAGGTGGGGGTTTAAAAAAAGACTGGATTTGTGTTACCGTTGTTGAATGTATATAAAACAAACCCAGCTTGTCAGAGCAGGAGGACGAATAACAAGAAGACAAAAAGGGGCGTGTCCAAAGGCCGCAACATGTGAGCCGTTATATATCGTTACGATCAATAGCTAATCAATATTTAAATGCAACTACCACGACCTCGTTGTGAGGCGCCGTTTTTAATTCTCAACCCGGCTACATCCGGCAGGCGCCTTAAAGCGCCACGCAAACACGCACAACTCATGTCTCAGCCACATGCAGCCCCAATTCTCTTCCATTCCCGGAACGGATTCCAATTTAATTGGACCTGGGCATTTTCCCTCAAGGAACAAGGTTCACCTTTAATTGCAGGCTCTGAAACACGGCCTTGAAAACCCATCCAAAGAATAACTAGCGATTGCACATCAACGCCCGGAGACACTTGGAATTCTTTAGACGTGACCTGCTCTGGTTCTCCTCCGAGGTCAAGGAGATCGATGCAGCCGCTGCTCTTCAGACAGACAAGAGGGCTCGTGTGAGATGAGCTCGTACCCCCGAGGTCGGTACGGCCAAGGGCCTTCTGATGGGGAGATATAAATTTAAGGAGTTATTAAAGACACGGTGCACTAACACACGGTTTAGGAATCAGAGCAAGTTGTAGCACCCCGACGCAATGAGCAGCAAAAGTACATGAAAAAAGGAGCCACGGAGGGAAAGTGAGCTTTGTTTACTGCTTTGTGTACCGCGCCGCCCCTCACACCCGCTCTCCAGAAGTCACGACGGCTTGTCGCTGTCACAGGCAGCAGAAACCAGTTGATCAGGACGAACGCAGAGACACAGTGGCAGAACATTTAAAAAAGGCCTAAAGGAGCAGCCTGAGAGCTGAAAGCTGCATTTCTAATTTGCTAATTGGGGTAAATGAGGTGAGTTCACGCTTGTTATGCAGCTTGCAATAACTTTTCTTACCAAGAGAAATCCCAAAACACAAATTTTGGGGGTTTATAGCCTTTTTGAACTCTGGCCCCGTTCGACTGGGCGAGCTGTCCCATAACGATCAGCCGCAGTCGCCTCGTCCCGTGTATCCCTCGCTGACACCTCAGACAAGTAAACAATGGTCACTGCACATGTTGACAGGCTCTGCGGGCTGGTATGCGGAAGGCAGGGCCTTCGTGCCGCAGTGTGTCGATAAGTCTTCATATGGCACGCTGTGAAACGGGAACACGGTGTGAACATTCTGTTCGCATGTGCGGTGCGTGTTTGGGCGTGCGTGTCGATACGCCCGCACCAGCCAAGGACACGTGGGACATACCGGGTTGACAAGGACAACTAATGCGGCGCCTCTGTACAGTTCTCGCTCACGCTACCTTATCTGTCCCTTTCATTACCTCGTCTCATTTGTCTTTCTTTCAAATATACTTTTTGCTACATTTTTTACGTCCCCGTTGTCTGTCTTCACCTGGACAGTTAAAAACTGGTTTATATGTTACTTTCAGAGCTCAATGATGATAGAGGCAGGAACCCCCGCCCCCCACCTGTCAGAACTGCTTTGACATTTATGATTTTTGCTCCCAGATTAACATGAGGCCATAAATTTGTACGTCAACATTGTAACTGTGGATGGATTACTGAGCGGGTCGCCCGGGAAAGAGAGCCCATTAAGGGACATTTTTGTAGACAACCAACAATAAAAGAATAGGGAGACAAAGAGACATAAAAAACCACAAAATGGTGCAAAACAAACACACAAAGAGACACACAATGACCACGGGGACCAACACGACTATCAAGGGATGCAAAACGTCTGCAAACACGCGTTGCTGGTCGCCTTTCTTGTCGCTGATGTTTTGATTTGATTTGAAGCATTTTATTTCATGAACATGTAGACATTAAAAAATAAAAAATTTAAAAAATCAACATAGACATAGACCACAAAATTAGAAAAGTCACCTTTTGTTCAAGAAAAGGAGTAGAGGGAAGCAAAAGCTTATAGATACCCACCCCTATCTTATCCATATTCTCAATTAGTATATATTACTTTGAAGATTAATATCATACATACATACACACACTCTCTCACACACACTCTCTCACCCACACACACGCACGCATATTCACTCATTTGACTTTCACATGTTTGCATCCAGCTGCATCGTCTCATTTCAACCGAGGCCCCGGAGGCAAACAGACACAAAGACGTTGAGACTGGAAGGCAGCCAAAGTGTGTGTCAGGTTATGCACAGACGGCATAAACCAACGAGACCTGATCGGCAAAGCTTTGTTCACCCAGAATTTCAGAGTTTCACACCCGGCATTTAAATCCATTAACTCAAGGGGCACATTTTCGACATTGTCAAAATCCAAATATATCCAGTTCAGAACCATTTCAAAGAAGCAGAACTTCATCACATTTAAGAACCTGAAACAAGCAAACTGCTGGTGCCTTGTTACCTCATAAATGACTTAAAACATTCATCAAGAAATCGGTATCCTTGGACCTTTGCCAGATTTAGTGTGAGATGCTTTGGTACAGACGGACCCACCGGCCTGACGGTGTTGGGAGGAATACCAGAGGACACTGATTGGTTTGTGTAATTGTAAGCACTAAATATAGAGCATGTACATTTTGTTGGCAGGAGCTAAATGACGCAATGTACACTTAGACGAGACATTTCAAAAGCTGCAGATCTGCTGACAGGAGATGTGAGGTGAGGTCAGGGATTAAAGTAAGTGCATCCACATTAAAAAGGTTATTAACTTTTAATGCAGCAGGCAGTGAGCAAAACAAAAAACGATCTGCTGTTTCTCTCGCTCACATCCACTTTCTCCCCCGTCTCTCCCCTCTCTCTGTTTCTATTGCCCCCCCCTCCTCTGGCAAGGACAGGCTAAGGTGCTGCCAAGAATGTGACTGTGTTTGAAAAACAAATCCTGCTCACTTCTGTGTTTTTCCCCCCGTTTCTTCTCTTTTCCTCCACATGCAGTTGTTTTGTGTGCCCCCCCCCCCCATCCCAATACGTCTTAAGGTGGTCCTACAACTTCTCTATACTCTCAAGCCCCGATTCTCACAAACACGGATTCGGCCGGTTCCCCCTGCCTCGCGCTTCCTCCTCACCCCACCTTAAGTAGAAACTGAACTGTGTGTGAAACAGTTGGATGTTGAATGAATTGACGCCCCCCCCCCCCCGCGCCACTGCAAACGCCGCCACTAAACCCCCCCCCCCCCCGGATTGCTTTCCCGAACACGTCGACTTCCTCACACTTCATTTCCTCACAGCTCATGAGCTCATGGAAGTGCATCAGGAGATAATTGCTGCTGATGGCTGTCGGAGGGTGCAAAGAGTTACGGTGTTAATAAGG